AAGGCAGTCGCTTAAGCAACTGAGCCACCCAGGCGCCCAAAAAAATTTTTTTAAAGAGTCATAAACAGGGCCGCCTGGCTGGCTCGGTCGAGCGTGCGGCTCTTGATTTCAGGGTCGTGAGTTTGAGCCCCCCCATTGGATGTAAAGCTTGCTTAAATGAATAAATAAATAAAAACTTAAAAAAAAGAGTCATAAACTACCTATGGGGGTAGAGGATGGGGAGGGGGTGTGCTGAGGATTTCTGCACACTGGGGAGGTAGGAGAGAGGGAGGTGCCCTTAAAAGCACTCTGGATGCGGCAGCAGCAACCAACAAGACACCGGATGTGAAGCTCAGAGGGGAGGGGATCCCACAGAATTTCTCAAACATGGATGCTGGTCCCAGACGTACACATCTGCCTCCAATACAGAAGAGCTTGCGCTAAGCTCCTTTGACTGTGCTGGGGTCATGGGACACCGCCTGCAAAAGGGATTGGTTCTCACGAAACGGCGGTGAGTATGGAAGCTCAGACCAAACAAAGATTGAGAATGTTTAATCGATTCATTCTAACAACACACCCACCATTTACTTACCGCTTCAAAAACATTGTTCTGTCTCCTGAGGTTCCTGTCCCAGTCAGGGAGCCAGTGTTTGTTTTTGGTCAGGGGAAAAGGTTGTGATGGGGAGATTTAGCTTACCAGGCTGTTTATATCTCACTGTCTTCCATTTTTTAATTTGATGATACCTGCAGAAAGTTAAGGGCAACAATTTATTAAGCTGGACATTTCACTAATTGTGACACTGTTTCCTTATATTTTCAATAAATGAACATTTATTCTTATAGAATCTTAGCTGGGACCACCTTAGAGATCATCGCTGGCCCGTTAACATTGCCTTGGGGAGTTTAGAGGAAAACACAATGCCCAGGCCCCACTCCCTACCAGCTGAATCAGAATCTCAAGGGCTGGGACCAAGGGGCAATGCTAGTTTTAAGGTCCCACCAGTTATTCCAGTGCAGCCAGGATTGAGAAACTGCTCTGGTCTCCTTTTATTTTATGGATAAAAATACAGAAGTTAAAGAGATGAAGTGACTTGCTTTGGCAGCACATGTACTAAAAGAGATGAAGTGACTTGCCCAAGGTCACGCTGCCAATAAATGGTATCTAACTATTCTGACTGCCCATCCAATGTTCTTTCCACTATGCTCTTTTTGCGTCTTCTTCTAGAACTTAGGGTTTCACTGAACATTATAGTTAGGTGATTTACAGTTGAGGGAGAAGGGACAGGGTCCATCAGTAAGGATGGGTGGGGAAACTTGTAAGGACTCAACTCAATCAAGGATTCTCCAGGACATGGCTCCTTTCAAGTCGTATTGGTGGTAGGATAGTCAAATGACCTTCTTTTGCTAAAAGCATTGTCTAATACTGTAGCGTATATTAGTTCCTCCTAGAGCAAGTCAGCTGCTCATGACTCAGTTGCACCCATGAAGAAGTCATGAATAAGTGTTCTCACTTTCAGGAATGAATCATATTAAAGCAAATGACAGGATATACCAATGACTCCTAATTTTTGAGCAGGGGTGGTTGTAGAGTGAGGACTCACAGGTCCCATTTGAGAACAGGTAAAAGCTATAGCCCCTCTCCCCGTGAAAAATACGCATACATGAGTGTTGCAAGTAATTTCTGGAGATTCACAGACGGTCCCCTCCACCCTCGCCCACCCCCGGCAAGTTCACCCATTGACACCAGATTAAGATCTCCTGGATTAGACGCTTTTGGAGCTCTATTTTTTAATGTTTCTCAAATTGTAATCGGGGAACCACAGAAATCGGAATCACCTGGGGTGTTTGTTCAAAATGCAGACTCCAAGGGCAGCCAGAGACCTACTGTTTCAGAATCTCTGTGAATGAGGTATAGGAGTCTGTATGATATTAAAACTCCCTAGATGATTCTTTCCGACACTAACATTTGAGAATTAGTGCTTTATCCCAACTTGAGATTTTTTTAATAGTTTTTGAATGCTTTCCTTTGTTGACTATTTTAGGTTTCATCTGTTCAATTGTTAAGTATACCAAATAGGATGTTTAGTATGAATTCATTAAAGAATATTCACATGTGGATATGCATAGGAAAAGCAACTGGAAAGAGAGCTAGATAACCATCTCTCTCTGGGTAGTGGGAAAATGGATGAGCTTTATTTTTTCCCCTTTATCTTCCTATTTTATTTTTCTCTTTCCTATTTTCTTTCTTTCTGTATTTAAAGAAGATTCTTCCTCTTTCTGAGTTCAATTCCTCCGTCCGAAAAACAGGGTATTGTAACTAGGCGAACTTCAAGGCCACGTCTTGCTCTGGCGATCCGCGACACCATATTACCCCCTAGCTCTCTTATCCATTTAGTCAATCACATGAACAGCAGGGGTAACAACAGTGTTCCTAGAACAACTGTGTATTATTTTTACATATATTACGTTGTGATGCTTAGCAACCTTTTTAATTCAACAAAATTATTCTCTCCCTCCTCAAGGAGTTGGAACTGAAATGAACTCTACTACCTACACCCCGGAAAGTTAATCCTGTCTTTTAAGCCTTAGAAAAAGCCGTCCGCACAGAGCTCTCAGGCGCATAAGAATGATTGTGAACCAAAAAGCCAGGGCATGGTCGCCCCGCCCACCGGCTCCTACATCACCACCCCTCTCGCCGCTTTCCAGCGCGGAGATTGGCTAAAGGCAAGAACGAGCCCCGCCCCTAGTCTTATGACCCGCGCTGAAGCGCCGAGTCCTGGCGTTTGCGGGGCTGTGCTCGGTGGTCTGCGGTCCTCCTGGCCCGGTTCCCCGAAGCCTTTTCGCTGGTGTTGCTGCTGCCATTGGCACCGCCGCCGCCACCTCCACCCCGACCAGCCGCCGCCGCCTCCTGCTTTGCGGAATCATGGTGTGCTTCCGCCTCTCCCCGGTTCCGGGCTCGGGGCTCGTTCTGCTCTGCCTTGTCCTGGGTGAGTTGTTGGGCCCTCCTGCTCTGTCCCTCAGCCTGGGCCCGGGGAGCCCAGTTCAAAGGCCCCAACCTGAAAGACTGGTCTGGGGGAAGGGGGGGAGGGTTGAGAGGCTGAGCGGCTGACACTGGGCGGCGGCGCTTGGCCCAGGGAGGCGAGCCGTGACCTAGAGAAGGCCTGACCGAGGGATGGCGGGGAGGAAGGGCCCGTGAGAGTGAGAAGGGGCAAGTAAGCGCGGGGGGCCGCCGAGGGAGTAGGTGGGGAAGAGTGAGGAGTGGAGCCGATTTGGGTAGGAAGAGTAACTTGGGGAAGATACTGAGGAGTGAGTGTAGGAGGGACGTACGTGCGATTCTGGGGTGGCAGAGACAGGGTCCTGGTTTCTTAGGATCGGGGAAGAGTTTTGAAGATGGTGGAAAATTATGGGATGAGAGCGAAAATTGGGGAGGGAAGAGACTGTCGCCTGCGTGAAGAAGCTTGGGGGAAGGGAGGGGGGGTAGGGGCAGATATGACAGTAGAGTCTGGGGGACAGCGAGGGGGCTGGGGGGGCGGTTTGTGGGTGGGAATTTGAGGTCCTGGAGGAAGGGTGAGTAAAGAGATGAGGAATGATGCTGGATTTGAGTTTGGTAGTTGGAGTTTTGAGGGGTAGGGACCTAAGGTGGCCCGGGGCAATTTCCAGGCGAGAAAACTCGGACCTAACCTCTGGAGACTAAAGGGAAGAGGGGGAACTTTGGTGGGGAGAGAAGATCTGACTTGGAGGTGTTGATGTCAGTTTTCTTTTCTTTTTTTTTTTTTTTTAAGATTTTATTTATTTATTTGAGAGAGAGAATGAGAGAGCACATGAGAGGGGGGAGGGTCAGAGGGAGAAGCAGGTTCCCCACTGAGCAGGGAGCCCGATGTGGGGCTCGATCCCAGGATCATGACCTGAGCCAAAGGCAGACACTCAACCAACTGAGCCACCCAGGCGCCCCAAAACTTTTCTTTTTTTAAATTGAGGTATAGTTGACACACAATTTACATTGGACAAATCTATATGTTATGCTACAGCCACCGTGAACGTAGCTACCATCTGTCATAGTACAACATGATTACAATACCATCAACTGTACCCCTTACGTTTCATAAACATTTATCACTTTCTCATTCTAAATCTCTGAATCTTTATGTCCATTTCCCCCCTCTGACCCACACATTTCATTGTCTTTCGTTTACCAAATCTGATAGGACCATTATTTCTCACGCCGTTCAGAGTGTTCACATTTAGGGATGTGTTTGCCAGCGATTTCCCGCTCCCTGGCCAAAAAGTCATGAGCTCGCAAAGCTGCTCAAAAGAGTCACAGGGGCCCCTGGCTGGCTCAGTTAGTGGAGCTAACTTGATCTCGGAGTTGTGGGTTCAAGCCCCACATTGGGTGTAGAGATTACTTAAAAAAATTTTTTTATTTTATTTTATTATTATT